TAGGGTTAGGGTTAGGGTTAGGGTTAGGGTTAGGGTTAGGGTTAGGGTTAGGGTTAGGGTTAGGGTTAGGGTTAGGGTTAGGGTTAGGGTTAGGGTTAATGTTAGCGGGAGCAAGTGATGGCAACTGTTGATTTGTGCACTAAGGTTTTTATGTCTTCTTTGGAAGTAACAATTCTTCTTCTTCTAACAATTCTTAGATGTTGAAGGCGAAATTAAAATGAATTTAAGAAGGTAGTAAAAATAACAGAGGTCCAGTTTATTCTGGGAATCTAAATATGATGCACTTAAAATACCCAAAGTAAAATTACTACGAAATATTATTAATAATTGCATACTTATTGGAACGGAAAGTACTCATCAAGGATGATGGGCAAAGCAAAGGCTAAGTACTTAAGCAGCGACATTTCAGTTTATAATTTTCTTCGAATATTGGCCCATGAAAACCCCATTCGCAGTCCAAAATAATACAGCGTCGGTCAAACTCAAATGACCAGTCAAAAACCACCTGCAGATAGTTTTCCCTGTTGTCCGCAAGGCTGGTAAGCAAAACACAAAGGCTTTTCTCTAAGCTATACAAAAAAAGGTTATTAATTACGGATGAATATAACATGAAAACAATCTCACACACGGTTACCGGATGTGAAACTCAGATAACAAGTCAAAAGCGACTAGTTACAGAAAGTTAACATAACAAACACATTTGTTTGCAAACCAACACAACGGTAACCAGACAACAGTCAAAGAGGAAACCTCGAAACGGCTGATAATTTAAAAAAACTCAATGGCCTCTCTCTAAGCTATACAAATAAAACCTTTCAGAAAAGGTTCCTTAACAATGGATTTACACGTAATTGGAATACATTCATTCATACCGGATAGTATGTTTTTAAAGCAACAATATTATTGTCACACTTCAAACAAAAGAAAGTGAAGAATGATCATCGCAGTAAATTTTCACCATTAAGAAATTGGAAAGATGCCTGAAAAAAATCAAGGCCGATCTTTTTTTTTTCAGGCTTCTTCTTTCCAATTGCTTAAGTTGGAAAATTTACTGCGATGTTCATTCTTCACTTTCAGCTACAACCGCAGTTCAAGTATGAATTATTTCATATATACTTCACATCATACTTCAAACACATCACTAAACTGATTACCAGTTCGTTCACACAATACATCAGAAACAAAATTAAAAACAGAAAGTATAATTTTTAAAATACTTTCATCCATAAGCAATCAGTCTAAAAAGCTTGTCCAACATATTGATATAACTGTGCGATACACGATTACCAAATCACTGCAAAAGGAACACACTAGTCCAGTTCATACCCTTTCTCTGTCACGCAACACTGGGGACAAAGGGTCCCTTTCCCAAGAGCGTAGCGTTGCGTGAAAGATAAAGTCACTACATGCGAGCTATAACCCACAACCGCAAAATATCCAGTAACTCTGAGAGATACACACTAGTTGTTCATATACCATGGATTATCCCACAAGATTATCCCACAAGGTTATAAAATCTAAAACATTAAAAATTTTCTATTAAACAATTAGATTATGAGCTCGAGATTTCTGTCGCGTGATAGTTGACGAGGGCGCAACCCGAGTCAGTCATCACGCATAGAAATCGAGAGCGAATAATCTAATTGTTTTAGTATAAATCGACCAGTCCTTCAAAACTTTATCTAACTCCTCTTCACAGACACTTCGAAAACGCCAAGAAGCGGCCGTCATTTTGTTAACAAGGGCACACTGCTAGGCTACTCACTATCTATCACAGAATAGATAGTGAGTAGCGTAGCTAATCAGAAAACGGCATTCGTGATAGAAAGCTAGTAGATTTATACTAACATCTGATACAAACCAATCAACTATTAGTTAAACGTCAAATGGTCTATTAAACCTCCACGAGAACGGGTTGTATATCTATTTTATACCACGCCATAAAAAATACAGTGGCCAATACAATCAATGCGAAACACGCGCAACGCACGATAGGAATCTTGGGTGAAATACGGTCGATGATACAATGACTTTCATGCATTCTGATTGGCTGTATTTTTAACGGCATGCTCTAAATTTCCATACACATTTGTTGAGGCTGGCAATGCCACGGTAACACAAATTCGTCATCAGAAATGATAAAGATAAGGAAATTGAAAACAACTGAAAATAAAGAGGACATAAGCCGCGGAGTAAGCGTTTACGACAGTTTTAAAGAGAATATGAAACAGTACTAACAAGTATTAAAACTCTATATCAACCTTACAACATTGAGCTTTACATAACTTGAAAACGTAACGCGGTTCAATTGGTAGAGCAGCTAATAGACCCTTTTCGCTAAATTTGATGCTTTCAGTCGAAAACGGAATAACATATGAGAGTTCTCTGGAAGTCACGTTTGTGGCAGGTATAAGAGGAGATTCAAGATTCGTCAGCCGATGGCACTGCTTGCTTTATTTGTCGCTTAAACAAACTTATCAAATTTGTTCAAGCACTGACTAACTTCGGCAAAACAAATTATGTCAAGGTGAGCCTACACAAACACTACATACAATGATAAATGAAGGAGAGGTTAAGGTTTAAAGCTTACAGAATGAAAAGGTTTGCATATGCATCGCTTTTATCTCATATGATCATCGTAATGTTGGATGAGACACGCCTTGCTACTAAATTCCTCCTGACAAATCCAACAGGTGAGGCCTTCAACGTGGCTTGGGTTTTCTTCACTCAAAGAAACCAGCACACTAGACTCTTTGCTACTTCGAGTTATTGTGGGCTCTGGAAGATGTTTTCTTTGTTTTAGGCACTGACCATGCTGCGTTAGTTTTAAAGAACTATCCATTGCTTGTTTTTGTCGCTTGCAAAATAATGACTGGCCAAAGGTCTTTTTACAATACTTGCATGTATATGGCTTCTTTCCCGTGTGAGTTCGTCCATGTTGCTTGCAAATTTGTAATCGGCTGCAACACCTTTCACAATACTTCAATGTAGACGGCTTCTCTCCCGTGTGAGTTCTTTCATGTCGCTTGCAAGTTGATGATTGTCTAAAGCACTTTTTACAATACTTGCATGTATACGGCTTCACTCCTGTGTGAGTTCGTTCATGTTGTCTGCAAGTTGATGATTGGCTAAAGCACTTTTTACAATACTTGCATGTAAACGGCTTCTGTCCTATGTGAGTTCGTTCATGTTTCTTGCAATCTGATGATTGGCTAAAGCACTTTTTACAATACTTGCATATATACGGCTTCTCTCCTGTGTGAGTTCGTTCATGTTTCTTGCAATCTGATGATTGGCTAAAGCACTTTTTACAATACTTGCATGTATACGACTTCTCTCCAGTGTGAGTTCGTTCATGTTGCTTGCAATTTGATGAGTGGTTAAAGCACTTTTTACAATATTTGCATGTATACGGCTTCTCTCCTGTGTGAGTTCGTTCATGTTGCTTGCAAGTTGATGATCGGCTAAAGCACTTGTTACAATGCTTGCATGTATACGGCTTCTGTCCTGTATGAGTTCGTTCATGTTGCTTGCAATTTGATGATCGGCTAAAGCACTTGTTGCAATACTTGCATGTATACGGCTTCTCTCCTGTGTGAGTTCGTTCATGTTCCTTGTAAGCTGACAATTGGTCAAACAACTGGCCACAATTCTTGCGTTCGTATTCCTTCCCTCGTGTCTTTGTTGTCATATTGATCAACGTAGGTTTTGATTGGCTTAAACTTATACCAATCTTTGCGGATGTTGGACTTGATCTCCTTTCAAGGCATCTTGTCAACTGTGCTTTCAAGATAGCTGTCTCCACTGTATATTCCTAACGAAATGACAAAGAGAACTTCATATAAGGTCATGTTATTATAAGCCTGCTGTTTATTTCTCATTTTAACGCTTTTTTCACTGTTTGAACAGTCTAGTTTGAAGATAAAGTTCTCAATCATAAAAATCAGTTCTAAGATCATTGTTTCTTTGTCATTTGTACAGAAAATTTGAACGATTTTAACACCTACCGCGAGATGATCAATTCAGTCATATCAGTAGCGGGCCGAACAGCCGTAGATAAGAAACCTTCGTATGTTCTAATCTGAGCTATAATTGTTTATTACCGTTCAAAATGTATTTTATTGTAATCGGAAGTTTTGTGTTTTCGGGCTTATCACGTAATCGTTGTACGAGTAACCTGTCCGTGTTGAAATCGAGCTTTTTTATATCAGAGTTTATATTTTTTTTTTGTGGTTGGAATTACAGGCGGTTCTATCAAGTTCTAAAAGGCAAATCTGAGTTCTGGGAGATGTAAGACGTATACAGGAGAAGGAAATCATTGTCATTAATCAAGCCTATTTCGTATGAAAGTAGAATAATCTCTGGTTTCCTTGAAAGTAGTCATTTTTGTAAAGACACGTAGAGACTGCACATACCGTTGCCGTACACTTAATCATTTGAGTTTGGCGAGTAAAACACCGTTGTCAGCCTGGTCCCTCATGGCCAAAGTAGCCGTAGTAGCACCTCGCCGTAGCTTATCTTAAAGTCCCTAATGAATGCTCGGCTGCGGATGTTACTAAAACTTGGAACGGGGAACGGGAAACGGAAAACGAGGAACGGGGAACGGGGAACGGGAAACGGGAAACGAGAAACGGAAAACAGGGAACGGAGAACGGGGAACAGGGAACGGAGAACGGGGAACGGGGAACGGGGAACCGGGAGGGGAGTCTGGGAACGAGCAGCAGTAACCCGCCTAAGAATTCAATATGGCAGAAAAAGGAAAAGAAAAAGGATCAATTTGGGAAAATGTGATGAAGTGTTAGTGCCTTGGGTGAAAATCGAATCGGTATTATCACAAGCTACATCCACAATCGGTGAGGCCACAGTCGTTCGACTTAAATAGAATTTCAAGCCTTCATAGTCTACTCATGTCTTCTCACTTTGTGCGCGAGCTGTCATATCAATATTTAAAGATAGCAACAAGCAATATGATATCGACGTCAAGTGACATAACACATGACAATCTTTAAACGTGGGTCGTCTGCTGTATTCGCATTCGGCAGCATGGCGGCCTTTCGGAGACCGGCAAGTCAGCTGGCAAATCAGGTCAGCAGCAGATAAATAACATGTGGCCTGACCGCTTTGTTAAAGACAAAATATATGAAGAAACGAGCAAGAAATATTCCACAATACACGTAATGCTAATGTTGGTGAAAGATGACCGCAGAAAAGCGACTGCGCGACACTCGGTATGTTTTCAGATGACATGTTGTCGCGTATCAGACGAAAAACAGTCTTTATTCTCTTTCTGCGTTTTGTACCTAGTCTGCATTTTGTACGCGGTCTGCAGTCTGAAGTCTGCCTTTTGTACTGACCGATTGGGGCAGCATGTGATAGTACCGATTCGATTTTCACCCCAGGTGCTATTTCATGCTTTGTTTATCCCAGTACCATATTGGACTGTGGGGCACAGCCGGTAGAAACTCACGTTTATAACCGTAACACTTCCTCACATTTCCCCAAATTGTTCCCTTCTTTTCCTTTGTACGCCATGTTAAATTCTAAGGTCGGTTACCGCTGTACACTCGTTCCCAGACTCTCATTCTCGATTTCCCGTTCCCCGTTTTCCGTTTCCCGTTTTCCGTTTCCCGTTCCCCGTTTCCCGTTCCCAGTTTTAGTAACATCCGCTCGGCTGCCATTTCCCTTGTAAACAACAGCAACAATACTTTATTGATCTTCACAACAGAACCAAATACGAAACTATAATTCTTTACAAAGTGTAAACCGTGACTGCAATAAAAATGTTCCCACTCCAATAAGTAGAAAGATTCTCACATAAGATTATCTGCGTAAAAGCAGTCAATTCCCTGGGTTGATATTCTCCGCGATCGTGTATCTCATCTCCTTTGACTGCACAAGGGCCTAGTTGATGTTCAAAATAACTTGACAGACTGTTATTTTCCGGTTATTTCGGTAGAAGACAAGAAGTCACCAGACACCTGAGACACGTTATCACTTACTTAGCTGCGAGCGGAACGCAAAGATCGATTACAAATCGGCGGGACATCGAGCAAAAGTAAATAAAAAATCGATGGCAATCGATAGCAAACGATAGCAATTAGAGGACTCCAGCTTGTGAATATCGATTGGTCATCGATTGGCCGATAGCAATTGATTAAGGCTGGTTTCCATATGATCGCAGACGATCGCAGACGATCGCGGATCGCAAATCGCAGATCGCAGACGATCGCAAAGAGAGTTGTTTTCATGTAATCGCACACGATCACAAGCGATCGCAGAGCCGACTGTTGCATACATTTCGGACAGCGGAACTGTCAAAATTACACGCGTCTTGTGCTGGCGGGAAAATCGCAGCAAACAATATGGCGGACGTCGAGGAGGAAATTAGTCTGCAAGCAAATTTATTTCTTCTTTTAGTCAACCTATTTTGAAATTCCCTTGGCACTGCATCTCGCTCCGATCCAGANGCGGAACGCAAAGATCGATTACAAATCGGCGGGACATCGAGCAAAAGTAAATAAAAAATCGATGGCAATCGATAGCAATTAGAGAACTCGAGCTCGTGATTATCGATTGGTCATCGATTGACCGATAGCAATTGACAACAATTAACTAATTCTCATCGATTGATATCGATTGATCGATTGGATTCCTGATCATCGATTGTCATCGATTGATCAGGCCGGGATTTGTTGATTAGTTCCAGTCGCGACACATAGTTCAGTGTTTATCCGGTCGAATATTGTTTGGAATTGGTGGAAAAGTGCTCTGAAGTCTCTGAAAGCAAGATCCATAAGAGTGAGCCTGAACCAAGGGACAGCCAATTATGTAAATACTGTCTACTTTATTCATCAGGGGAAATATTCGAATCAGTCGCACGCGATGGCAAATGTTTGGTTATATTTTTGCTTCCAGCTTAGAATAATGAACTAGACTATAAATGTGAATATTTTAGTTCTATTTAACTTGTAAATCTACGGTAACTGACGACATCATGCAACGTGTCAACAAATCATAGTTTATACCAGCATGGACTTCGACACTGTAAAACCAACTGTTCGCCACTATTCGGGGCTATTCGCGACTGTTCGCCGCTTTCACACTATCCGAGACTATTCACACTATTCGCCATTCGCTATTCGCTATTCGAGTTTTCCAGACACCCTTTCGAAAAAATGAAATGGAGGACATGTTGATGTACCAAAGCAATCCTGGGGGAATTGAACTCTTTTCCTATGTGAACACTTTCGTTGGGTTTATGTTACATATTTTGGGCACAGAAATCTAGCCCAGCGAAGTGTAACTACACATTTTCCCCTTTGATTTATTCAGCAGAAAGCAGCGTTGGTTTTGGTCGAAGAGAAGAGGGTACACAACATGCAGCCAAAGTACAGCTTTCTGTTCGTACGAAGAGTCATGCACATTTTGTGAAGATATGTTTGCAACGTTTTTAAATGCCATTAATACTGATTTCGAACTTTTAATAAACAACTTATCCGCTACAGTCCACAATAACCTGCCTCGACACTCAAAAGCCCGATATATTGCACAACAATCGGAAGGAAGCACATGGACGAACATGGAGACAACGTCATTCATCCCTGAAAATTTTTTTTTTGGGGGGGGGGTCAAGATACTTGCACAAAAACTCAAATTTTTCTGCATTGCTCGATTAGAACTGCTTCTAATGCACTCTCATAATCTTTGATTACTACTAGCTCATTAGTTAACTACTTATTAACCTTGAACATTCGGTCTTTAATGGAAAATCTCGAACCGCGACCTTGCCGTATTGACTGAGTGTTAGCAAGGTCAATACAACAAGGTTGAGGTGAAGTGTAGCTTTGATGTGTTTCTACATATTACATTTGTGTCCTGATTAGTTATGAAGTTGAATAGCCAAATAACAATTCGGAGTTTTTATTGTAGCCTGTTCCATGGTGGAGCTCCACAAAACAAAGAATCTAAGGGAACATCTGTGTGCTACCATTGTTAATGGGCCATGTTCGATATATCAACAATATTCTAACATGGCCCTGGGGCTTTCAGGACAAAATTTCAAATTTGTTAAGTTTCTTTGCTACCTCAATTACCAAAAGAGAGATGCAGAGAAAATACCAACAAATATAATCAAAATGTATGGCACTAAATTTTGGAGTTTTTTTCTTTTGTAAACGACTGGTTTTTCTTGCTGGGTATTAATTTTTGCGATTTTTGGGAAGTCACGTTTAATTGAAATTAAAACATTTTCAAGTTTTTAAAGTGCATCCAATTATTAACAACTGGCCCTATACCCACTTAAAGGTTATGGTCAAAATCAATTATTAACAAGGGGAACAACAGGTAGAGAATTAAAACACAGTAAATCTAGTAACCAGCGTCACCCTATCACAACTGCATCATGCTTTTTATGTGGCTGATGACAGCAATAAGATTCTACTTATCACATTGCTCATATATGAACTGCAGTTGTAGATGAAAGTGAAGAATGATCATCGCAGTTAATTGTCCAATTTAAGCAATTGGAAAGAAGAAGCCTGAAAAAATCAGGGCTTCAACGGGATTCGAACCCGTGACCTCCGCGATACCGGTGCGATGCTCTACCAACTGAGCTATGAAGCCACACATTGGGAGCGAGGTCAATTAATTGGAATTCTTTCCAGTTGCTTCAATTGGAAA